GATTAGTATCAAGGAAGGGAACGGGAAATCAATCGGGATCTGGTCTTTTTGAACTGTAGTTGCAATAAAGAGTACGTCACAAGTCAGCGACCTGTTGTTGTTCAGTAAAGGACAGCCGCAACGGTTAAATACCAGTAACAAGGTTGCTGGATGCTCTTACACAATGCCTAAAGCTCCTGAGGGCCATGTGCTTCTTTCATCCAAGGTCTTCCTAGGGCCTACAACCATAGAGATAAATAGGATTTCTGTTCACAATCTACACAAACGAGGAAGTCTACACCATGTCCCAAAAAAAAGGCCTGCGTGCCCGGAGGCTCCGAGAAGCAGGGTGGGAAACCATCATCAGGGAATGTGCAGGTCAAGAAAGCAGACGTGGGCTGGCAAAGGATACCCATTGGCTGCGTTCTGTAGGCATTTCCCTTGGGAGGGAGGTGGGGTGGGGGGACGAAGGGAAATGACGAGGGTTCCGAAGCAGTTTCCTCCTCGACTCCCCCCCCCCCGCTACAACCGAAAGTGGGAAATTTCGGCTGCTCGGGTGGAAGGCTCTGAAGGTAAATGGCGAAGAAACATGAACAAATTCGTATGCACAAGACATGGGTAGATAGACCTGCGCGACATCAGAAAGAGGGTTGAAGTTGAGAGAAGGGTAATCAGGTGGAAAAACTTTTACCCCTTGCAATACACAAACCTCGATGATTCAAATGCTTTTTTTTCCCTGTGAGTTTGCTGCGTCCCTGTTCGGGCTACTCGAAGGAGGGGTTGTTTGCTTTCTAGGGTTCCGGTGTGGTGTTCCCTAATCTAGCGCCTCCCCCCCCCCTCCGTCTCACATCCCAGTCAAGAGCAGTTTTCGAAAGGCGGGGCGAAGGACGCAAAATTTGCCAGGGAAGGAAGGTGGGGAGGGGAAATAGGCAGCTTCCTACGACCTCATATCCGCGAGGGTAAGAGCGCGTGTCTTTTGGTGTGGATTGTCAAAGTTCGAGCCTAATACCGCTTTTTACCGTTGCGACACGTCTCTCAACTGTATCCTACCGCGTAAAAACTCTTCATCAGTTCGAACTTAGCAAAAGTTCGACCTGAAGGACACGCGCCCTAAATGGCTGTTCTGTTGCCATTTACCTTCGTTTACGTTCGGAGGGCAAATGGGAGGCTCGGATCCATTTTCCGGGCTGACCGTCTTTCGGACCAAAAAATGCAGTTGGGGGAAGGTTCCTATTTACCGCCTCCCCCACCTCTGTCGTGCCTGCAGAACGCAGCCGTTGTGGCATGCTTCAATTAGGTGATGCATCACTTGCGAATAGTGATGCCACCGAGCTTCAGCACTAGTACAATATATGCACAACCAAAGCAGACTGGCTACACTATCGATGCTGAACTACACTAGAGGCTAAATCACACACACAACAAACCTACCCCATCAGGATATCATGGCACGATACCAGGCGAAGCTTTGCTGTGCGGTCTACAGGATATCAGCAGACGAGGCGCCTGGAATCTTGGCGCTGTGTGCGCACCGACGATCAGAAGAGAAACTTTTGAAGCTTCTTAAAAGTGTGCGCCAGCAACCAAAGGAGCAACCTGGCACTGACAAACTTGGTGCAATCTGGGGAAGTGCAAGGAAATTGCAGTCAATTGACAGTCAGAACACAGCTGCTGAGCCACATGCTGTCTCCTCCACTGCAGATCTTGGCTTCTCCAGTGACTTTTGAGTCAACCCAAAAGTCGGCCTGAATGCTTCCTTACAAGCAGGGCTTGGAGTCTCTAGGGATGGTTAGATCGACCAAAAAAATCACCCTAGATGTGCCGGCACCTTATGCTGAGCCATGTGCTGTCGCCTCCACTGCAGATCTCGGTGTCTCGATAGCAGCATGAATGGATTTCTCCATGGCTTCAATCTGAACCTGCATGGTCGCATGAACACATGAACACTGGTGCTCAGAACAGCTCCTATACTTCAAGCACCTTAAACATGCGTACATGTTACTCAGATTCAGCAGCAATTAACATTATTCAACATAAATGATGAGAAAGTAGAGCGTGTGAGTGTACCTGCAGGTCTTTTATGTAAGCGACTGCAGACTCCACCATTGTGGCTGTATCGAGTTGTGCTCTTGCAAGAGATGGGGGTAGCGCTCGATGTAGCTGCTCCAGGCCTCTCCTGATACAGTCACATTCGATACAAGCACAGGATTTGGATAAGGTCACACACTCAGTTTCAGACTTCATCCAGGTCCCTTACTTTTATCAAGATCTCACTCACAAAGCCAAATGCCAAACAAGAAAACACAAAGATAAATGCCCATCCCCTTCCCCTCCCCCCCTCCCAGAGTCAGATCCAAAAACATCAATAATAAATAAATAAAATACCGTAGCAGCACCGACTGCAGCAAGTGTTACACAGGGAGAGGGCGAAAGGGGAAAAGAAGATAATAGGGGAGGGATGGGTTTGGAGGTGGGATGGGGTGGAGGGGGAAAGAGGCAGGGACGAGAGGACGGACATGGGGACGGACATGGGGAAGGGAGGGAGAGGAAGAGGGGGAGAGACAGTGGAGTGAGGGATAAAGAGCGAGGGAGGGAAGAGAGGGGGAGGAGGTGTTGAAATAAGAAGGTCAAGTCACCTGACACGATCACGCCGCTGCCTCTCCTTCATGCTCTTTGGTTGGATGCATCCCAGCCCCACTGCTTGCCCGTCCAATCGCGCTCGAACGCGCGGCCTCCAATCCTCACGCGATACGTGCGGTGCCTGAAAAGTCGATAACTGTGATGCCTGAATAGGCAATAAGTGTAGTGCCTTAGAAGGGACTACTTGCGACGCCTCGCGAGGTGAATGATGCTTCGCCTCCAATGCTTGCAGCCTCCAGTCCTCCCCTCTCCATCCCTCCCCTTCCTGCTTTGCCTGTCTCGCCCCCCTCTGTTCCGACCACTGAGGGGCATTCCCCAAACTATCCAGGGGCGTCCACGTGGCAGGAGGCTCTTGCATTGTCAAGGCGTGTGCTTCTCCCTGATGACAAGCACCAGAAGCAGCGCCATCCCTTCCATGACAAGCACCCGGAGTGGCGGCGGCGAGTGAACAGGTGGAACCAGGAGCACGTGAGCAGGGAGCAGGCAGAGCGGGTGTGCAGTAAACACGAGAAGTGGTACGCGGGAAGAGAGGCCTTTGAGACGTCTTAAAAGGGTCTCGTACAGTCAAGCCATGTCGCATTTCGGCCTTGTGACCAACACCATCAGCAGCAGGTAGGCAGAAAGCACCAGGAGCAGGTGAGGAGGAAGCAGCAGCAGCAGATGAACAAGAAGCAACAGCAGCAGTGGGCGAGGCGAAAGCAGTAGGCGGGTAGGCAGCAGCAGCAGCAGCAGCAGCAGCCGCAGCAGCATGGCGGGCAGAACGTGGCAAGGCTGGTAAGAGGGGCGGGAAGGGCGGCGGGGGTACTGGAGGTGGTGCGGGTAGTGGCGGTGGCAGTGGAGCAGGTGGTGGGAGTGGTGGTGGGGGTGGCTCGGGACCTGACGGCCCTCCTTTCGACGGTGGAGTTTTCACTGGTGGTGAGGGGTCCCAGCAGCAGAAACATTGACTCCTCAGCAGCTGCCACCGCCTGGACAGCAGCAGCGGCAGGGACAGCAGCAGCAGCGACAGGGCCAGCAGCAGCGCCCGCCACAGCAGCAGCCTCAGCAGTGGGGCCCTCCGCAGCAGTGGGGCCCTCCGCAGCAGTGGGGCCCTCAGCAGCAGTGGAGGTTTGCGGGTCCCCCGAGCACTGGGCGCAGTGGCGCCCCCTCCAGTCAGGGACCTCGCTCGGCCGGCCGCGACGTTGGTCCCTGTGAGTACTGGATCCTTACGAGTCCTCGTCGGGACTCGTACTGTGGCCGCCCCGACCACTCTGCTGCACGCTGCTTCAGTCGTCTCGACGACCTCTACGTCTTGCACCACGGCCCCTCCGCTCCCCTGCCGCCACGCTGGGGGACGCTTCTTGCTTGTGGTATTGCTGTTTTTGATATGACTATGGATGATGCTAGGTCATATGTCACGTATGCTAATGTTGACTATAGTGCTCATGGATCTGTGTACTTGCCTGTACCTAGCTTAGGATCTTTGCCTGTTGCTAGAGTAGGTGCTAGTGCAGGATCTTGCTTAGCTACTAGTACAGGTTCTCCCTCGGCGGACGCCTCTCTCTCCTTCACACTGGACTCCGGAGCGTCACACTGCTTCTTCCGCGACTGCACGACTCTCTCTCCGCTACCGGCGCCTGTCCCTGTAGCACTGGCCGATCCCTCTTCGGGACCGGTCATTGCAACTCACGCCACTACACTCCCGTGCCCAGCTGCTCCTTCCGGTTCCATGACAGGCCTCCACGTTCCTTCGTTCTCTAGGAACCTGGTTGGTGTGGGCACCCTGGCGAGACAGCACGTCGGGGTCTGGGTTGAGCCTTCTGGTGACACCGCGGTCTGTGTGGACGGTGATACGTACGCCCCCTTGGCCACTTTTCGCCAGGAGCCGGGCTCCGGTCTGTACACCCTCCGCACCGACCCCCGTCAGGTTCCCCCGTCCCACCAGGTAGCCGGGTCCAGTCAGGTTGCTGTGTCAGGTGTAGTTGCTGCGTCGTGCTCGTGTCAGTCGCTTGCCCACCCCTCCCTCCTCTGGCACCACCGCCTTGGTCACCCTTCCCTCCCTCGTCTCCGCGCTATGTCCAGTCAGCGTCTTGTCTTAGGCCTCCCCCGAGTCCTCCTGCCACTCCCGCCGTCCCCAGCTCCTCCGTGCGGTCCTTGTGTCCAGGGTCGGCTGCATGCCACCCCTCACTCCTCCTCCCTTCGTCCGGCCACCGAGCCCTTCGAGACTCTCTACTTAGACGTCTGGGGCCCCGCTCCCCGTCTTGGCCCTCAGCGGGAGAGTTTCTTTCTGGTGGTCGTTGACGACTACTCTCGGTACACTACCGTGTTCCCTTTGGCGAAGAAGTCCGACGTGACTTCTACGCTGATCCGGTGGCTCCTTGCCACCGAGGGCACTCGCGGTCGTCATGTCAGTTGTCTTCAGTCCGACCGTGGGGGTGAGTTTTGCTCTGGCATTCTCGCCAGATTCTGTGCTGAGCAAGGCATCACCCAGTCCTGGACTCTTCCAGACTCTCCACAGCAGAATGGGGTTGCTGAGCGCCGCTGAGGCCTGGTCATGGAGATCGCCCGCGCCTCCATGATCCACGCCCGCGCGCCCCAGCTGAACCTCTGGCCTCGCGTCTCTCGGCCAGGGGCTTCACCGACCAGTCTTTGGATAGGGTCCCCTGGTGTTGCGTTGAGGTTTAGTGTCTGGGGCTGCTTGGCTCTTGTCCGCGACACCTCTGCAGACAAGATCTCGCCTCGAGCTGTCCCCTGTGTCTTCCTTGGTTTCCCAGAGGGCTCCTTTGACTTCACCTTTTACCACCCTCCCTCCCACCGGTTCTTTGACTCTCGTGACGTCCGCTTCGACGAGTCCGTCCCCTACTACGTCCGGTACCCCTGTCGAGGTCTCTCGGTTCCCCCCCCTCCCCTCTTCCTGGCTCCAGCTCCCCCTCCTCCCGCCCCTACTCCTCCGGTACCCCCCCCTGTTCCCGCTCCGTCTGGTGTGTCCCACGCTACTCTCCCCCCCTCGGTACCCCCCCAGGTCTCTCCTCCTTCCCCACAGTCGTCCTCACCGCCTCCACAGCAGCCGTCAGCGCTTCCTTTACCGGCCACTGCGGCCTCTGAGGGTGTTGGTGCTCGAGGTGAGGGCTCTGGCGGTGCTCGCTCTGGGGGTGCTGGCGTTGGAGTTGTTCGTGCACCTGCAGGAGCAGCCAGTTTTGGGGGTGTTGGCGTTGGCGCTGAGCGTGCACCTGCCGCAGCTGCCCGTTCCGGGGGTACTGGAGCTGGTGGTGGTGCTGGAGCTGGTGGTGTTTCTGGAGCTGGAGAGTCTGGGGCTGGTGCTGGTGCCACTGGAGGCACCACGACTGGGGGTGCGGGTACACCTCCTACAGGTGCTGGTCGTGCTGCCGCGGGAGGTACTCGTTCTGTGGGTGCTCAGCCGGGTACTGTCGAGGACGGAGCCGGTTCTTCTGCTGCGTCTCCTGACACCACTCCTCCTCCTCACCCCTACCTAACTCGTTACCAGGCCCTTCTTCGTCTAGAGCGTGAGGAGCAACAGCGTTTGGAGCGTGAGAGGTCGGAGGTTTAGCAGCGGGTGGAGCGTGAGAGGTTGGAGTTGCAGCGGGAGCAGCAGGAGCAGCAGCAGCAGCAGCCGGAGCAGCCTCCGGCCCCTGTTTCTGGCCTTTGGGCCCTTGGTCTCCCCTCCTCTCCTCCTGTGTTCGGTCCTACGTTGCCTCCTCCGGACTCAGCTCCGGCTGTGTTCCCTCGTTCTCAGTCTCCTCCGTCTCCCTCTCCTCTCGCCCACACTTGGACCTCTTGTCCCCCTCGTGCTCGTCCCTCGTCACCTGTCACTGACCTCTGTACCGTGTTGTTTCGTCCTAGTCCTCCTCGTCCTCCTCCGTCTGTTCTTCCTCGTCCTCCTGAGTCGTCCCTCACTGCCTCCCTGTCCACTCCGATCACTGACTACTACCGCACGTACCGCCCCACTCTCTCTCGTGTTCTCGCCTCTCTTGTTACAGACCCTCGTGCCTCTCCTTCCTCCGTCCCGGTCCTCACTGCCGTTGTCACTGACTTTACTGCTACGCGTCGCCTTGACTACGCCACTCGTGTTGTGGCCGCTCCTCTTGTCCGTCCTCTGTCCGCCGGGGGTGAGTCTGCCTTTGGCTGTGACGTCCTAGAGGACAGACAGTTTGAGCTAGAGTTCCTGGCAGCTGCTTCGCCTCATCTCTGTGCCATGATTCTCGCTCCTGAGGGAGACCCCGACGCTCCTGACATACCTACTCCTCGCACTTACGCTGAGGCAGTGTCAGGGCCTTGGGCCTCTCTGTGGAGAGCTGCCATGGACGCAGAGATGGCCTCCTACAGGTCCACAGGCACTTACGTTGACGAGGTTCCCCCCCAAGGGGCGAACATAGTTGACGGCATGTGGATCTTCAAGGTGAAGCGGCCGCCGGGATCTCCCCCAGTCTTCAAGGCACGCTACGTGGCTAGAGGGTTCAGTCAGCGTGAGGAAGTTGACTTCTTTCAGACCTTCGCGCCCACCCCGAAGATGACCACTCTTCGGATGTTACTGCACATAGCAGCGCAGAGAGACTACGAGCTACACTCTCTTGACTTCTCCACTGCCTTCCTCCAGGGCAGTCTACACGAGGAGATCTGGCTGCGTCGTCCTCCGGGCTTCACTGGCACCTTCCCGCCTGGGACCCAGTGGAGCCTCAGACGACCGGTCTACGGTCTCCGCCAGGCACCCCGTGAGTGGCATGACACTCTCCGCTCTACTCTGTCCGACCTCGGGTTTGAGCCGTCTTCCGCCGACCCGTCGCTGTTTGTTCGTCGTGGGCGCACACCTTTCTTCGTTCTCGTCTACGTCGACGACCTGGTTTTTGCCACAGCCGACACAGTTGCACTGGCGGAGGTGAAGTCTGAACTGCAGAAGAGACACACCTGCACTGGCCTTGGGGAACTACGCCGCTACCTTGGCCTGCAGATCTCCAGGGACAGAGCCGCTCGCACCATCAGTCTGACTCAGTCACACATGGTACAGCAGGTGTCAAACATTATATGTTTATATTGTGTAGGCTATAGTGGGTTTAGCCTTAGGGGGTACAACTTTGTTAGGGTTGCCTACTTGTATCCCCATCATTCCTAGTTTTCATCATTCTCGTTCTATTCTAGATTCTAACATGGTATCACGAGCCTAGGTTGCTACCTAGGACCGCTTTCTACTACGGGCCCACTATTCCGCTAGAAGCGCCCTCGTGCGCCCTACCTTACGTGCGCCCTCGTGCGCCTTTCTCTGCTCGTGCGCCCTCGTGCGCCCTCGTGCGCCCTCGTGCGCCCTCGTGCGCCCTCGTGCGCCCTCGTGCGCCTTTCTCTGCTCGTGCGCCCTCGCGCGCCCCCGCCCTTCGGTCTGCCCGAGTGCCGTCCTGTAGCCCTCGCGCTGCCTCCTGCAAGCTAGTACGGCCCTCGAGCCGCCCCGGCAGGTCCGTCAGGCCCCCGAGCCGCCTCTGCAGACCCGTCAGGCCCCCCCCGAGCCGCCTCTGCAGGCCCGTCAGGCCCGAGAGCCGCCCCTGCAGACCCGTCAGGCCCGCGTGCAGCCTCTGCCCGACCGCGCGCCGCCCCTGCAGGCTCTCGCCGCCCGCCGCGTCGCCCTGCCCGCGGCGTCGCCGCCTGCCCGCGGCGTCGCCACCTGCCCGCCGCGTCGCCCTGCCCGCGGCGTCGTCACCTGCCCGCGGCGTCGCTACTGCCCGCGGCGTCGCCGCCTGCCCGCGGCGTCACCACCTGTCCGTGGCGTCGCCACCTGCCCACGGCGTCGCCACCTGCCCGCCGCGTCGCCCTGCCCGCGGCGTCGTCACCTGCTCGCCGCGTCGCCCTGCCCGCCGCGTCGCCACCTGCCCGCCGCGTCGCCCTGCCCGCGGCGTCGTCACCTGCTCGCCGCGTCGCCCTGCCCGCGGCGTCGCCATCTGCCCGCCGCGTCACCCTGCCCGCGGCGTCGTCACCTGCCCGCGGCGTCGCCCCTGCTCGCCGCGTCGCCCTGCCCGCGGCGTCGCCACCTGCCCACCGCGTCGCCCTGCCCACGGCGTCGCCCCTGCCCGCCGCGTCGCCCTGCCCGCCGCGTCGCCCTGCCCGCCGCGTCGCCCCTGCCCGCGCGTCGCCCCTGCCCGCTGAGTCGCCCTGACCTAACCCGCGCCTGGCCTTTGGAGCAGCCGCCCCTGCAGCAGCCGCCCCTGGCTCCTGGAGCAGCCGCCCCTGGCCACTGGAGCAGCCGGCCACTGGAGCAGCTGCCACTGCAGGAGCCGTCCCTCGCCCCTGGAGCAGCCGCCCCTGCAGCAGCCGCCCCTGGCCACTGGAGTAGCCGCCCCTGGAGCAGCTGCCACTGCAGGAGCCGCTCCTGGCCCCTGGAACAGCCGCCCCTGGAGCAGCCGCCCCTGGAGCGGCCGCTGTGGCGGCCCCGCAGTCGCCCCGCTCGTACGCCTGCCCTTCCCACCACTGGTGAGCGCTGCCCTGCCCGTACTCCTACTGCTTCTACTGCTGCTCCTGGCGTGGCCGGATGCAGCTCCAGGGCCGTCCGCGTGTGTCCCTCACGCCCCAGCAGCTTCGTGAGTGGTACGCCAGTTGGGGTTGTCGGGGTGGCAGTAGTGGGAGTCGTCCTGGATTGGGTAGTTCGGGAGTTTCTTGTAGTGGCCCGGTGCAGCAGCCGCGTCGTCTACGCGAGGCTCTTTCGCCCCAGCAGCTTCGTGAGTGGTACGCTCAGAGTAGAGGGTCACTGAGTACTGCTCGCTGCCCGTACGTCATTCGCACAGGTGTCCGGACTGGTCAGCCTTGCGGGACACGTGGTCACACAGAGTCCCACTGCTTCGCCCGTCTGGGCGACGTTTGGCGTACAGAGCTTGGCGACGACGCTGAGCTCCCCGACTGGGTGGAGCTGCTTAGGCAGAGGGTAGATGTCTTTACTCTTGACTATGATGCTATCCTCACTGCCATGTATGCATTGTCTACTAGTGCTGAGAGTGCCTGTCACCTGTGTGTGCCGCCTGACCCCGGTATCCAGTCTACTGCTCTAGGTACTGGTAAGGCTGCCGCTCTAGGTGCTAGAGTGTCTGTTGCCCCAGATGCTGGTGAGGCTGCTGCTCTAGGTACTCGTGAGTCTGCCCCCCCTGGTACTGAGTCTACTGAGGCACTGCACACCTTCACACTGGACTCAGGTGCTTCTCGCTGTTTCTTTCGTGACCGCACTGCCCTTGAGCAGCTTGCTCGGCCAGTTGCTGTCTCCCTTGCTGACCCCTCTGGGGGTCCGGTCATTGCGACCTCCTCCACTGTCCTTCCTTGTCCTGCGGTTCCGTCGGGCACACTGTCAGGTCTCCACCTCCCCTCGTTCTCTACGAACTTGGTGGCGGGTTGTGCGCTCCAGGACGGGGGTGTCCACCAGTTCACCCCTGCCTACGAGCGCGTGACACACTGCACGTGTGCTCGGACGGGCCGTCACCTGGCTACCTTCACTCGGCAGCCGGGGTCGGACCTGTACACACTGACCACTGAGTCCCCTCAGGTAGCTGCGTCTGCGTCTGCTTCAGGTCAGCTGTCTGCCCTCTGCTCGTGTCGCTCTCTAGCACACGAGACCGTCCTCTGGCACCACCGCCTTGGTCACCCGTCAGTGCAGCGCCTTCGTGCCATGCACAAACGGTACCTTGTCTCTGGTCTTCCCCGGGTACTCCCTCCCCTCCCACCCTCGCCTGCTCCTCCCTGTCTTCCTTGTGTCGAGGGGCGGCAGCGCGCCGCTCCTCACTCCTCCTCGTTTCCCCCGACGACTGCTCCCTTGCAGACGCTCCACATGGATGTGTGGGGCCCAGCCCGCGTCCGTGGACAGGGTCAGGAGAGGTACTTCCTGATCGTTGTTGATGACTACTCGCGCTACACCACGGTCTTCCCCTTGCGCACCAAGGGTGAGGTCCCTGATGTTTTGATCCCTTGGATCCGCGCTTCTCGTCTCCAGCTCAGCGAGCGGTTCCACTCAGATTTTCCTGTCTTGCGTCTGCACTCTGACAGAGGTGGTGAGTTCTCCTCCGACCTCTTGGCAGCCTACTGTGCGGAGCACGGCATCCGCCAGTCGTTCACGCTTCCGGCCTCTCCACAGCAGAATGAGGTTGCTGAGCGCCGCATTGGCTTGGTCATGGAGGTCGCTCATACCTCCTTGATCCATGCAGCTGCCCCCCACTTTCTGTGGCCGTTTGCGGTCCGGTACGCTGCGCATCAGCTCAACCTCTGGCCCCGTGTCTCCTTGCCGGAGACCTCGCCCACACTGCTGTGGACGGGGGAGGTTGGCGATGCGTCGCGTTTCCGGGTTTGGGGATCTCGAGCTTTTGTCCGCGATACGTCCGCGGACAAGCTCTCCTCCCGCGCTGTTCCTTGTGTCTTCCTTGGCTTTGTCCCGGACGCGTCTGGTTGGCAGTTTTACCACGCCACCTCGCGCCGTGTCCTGCCCTCTCAGGACGTCACTTTTGACGAGTCGGTGCCCTACTACCGCCTCTTCCCCTACCGCACTACCCCGCTCCCCCTCCCGCCTCTCTTCCTCGCGCCAGGTGCTACTGT